TCTTCCCACCACCAGACGCCTAGCTCAGGTCAACAATATCCCTTTCCTGATCCGTTACCCTAGCCTTCAACTTGGTCTTTCTGCCCCATGTTTACCCTCTCCTGACTTCCAGGTATTTTATCCAGAATAAATGGATTSTTCTTAGGTAGCAGTCAGAGTACATGTTTCAGAACACAGGTCTGATTGTGACAAATTTTCCCTCACCCAACTTTACAATGGGCTCCTATCACGCTGAAGACAAAACCCAGCTGTTTCTGGGGCCCACACCCTGGGGGATCTGGCTGTGCCTACCCCTCTAATCTCATCTCCTTGGTGCTTCCTTTTGTGTTCATTCTGCTCCAGGAAAAACAGTTTTGGCCTTTGATTTTTCTGGAAGGCTTTGTACTCTCTTTGCGATGGGGGTGCTAGGGGGTCCTATCTACTTTGCCTTGAATGCTCATGCCCAGGTCTCCCACCCAGACCTCCCATCACCCTTCCTGACCACACTCTCCAAAATCACACTCCCGTTGACTTGGCCTGGAATGACTATCTCTTCACTTGCTTGGTTCTCATCTGCCCCACCGTGGCGTGGATCCCCAGATGGCAGACTTATTCCTTACGACCTGCTCTGTGCCTAGAAGCTGTTGTCTCCACCTCACACCATAAACATGGACTGAAGTAYGGGAGGGAGGAAGGGAAAGAAGAGGGGAAGGAGTGGGAGGAGGGTGGAAAGAAGCAATAAATGATTTGAAATTCCACAGGGGAACTCCGTTTAGAGCCAAAGACAAAATCGGAGGGCCTGCCTCAGATGCCTCTGGTGAGAATCTCTGGCTTCTGTCTTCTCTTCATCACCACGAGGGACTCTTGTTTGTAAGGCACTTGAAGTTCTCTATATGTAAGGCTTCAATGCCATGCCGTGCTTTGCTCTGTTACTCTATTTGCTGCAATGCAAATAMATTTCAGAATATTGGATGGAGTGAGGAAATAAATTACTAGGATAAATAGAGGAAGAGAAGGGACAAGTGCACGGAAGTGACCTGAATATTAAAGACTGGAATTTTAGCCCACAAGATCAACGACAGAGGCAACTGGAGAGAAGCAAACGAGTGGATTTAAAGAAYGATTAGTCTGAAAGTGTCTGGTGCTTTTTAACCACGATGTTGTGAATTTTAAGTGGAATAAATTCCATATAGGCTTTATAAGGGCTGAGCCCTGCTCCAGAGAAGACTCAGAAAAAAAAAATGTCTGCTTTGGTTTGCAAGGGTCTGTTTCGTTCTTATTTGACTGATCTTATTAAATACACAATAATCTTAATATGTGCACATGTTTTTTAAAGCAGAAATTGTTCCCCTGATAATGAAGTGGGAAGACCCAGTTGGGAAGGGTATTRAAAAGATCGCTCACTTTCCTGATGACTAATAATATCAAAGTAAATGTCCGTGTGCAGCTGCAAAGCAGAAAATGAATATTTTAGCCTTCTACCTGCTGAAAAGCTCACCAAATCAGTCTAACAGCATCCAGAAAAGATCGCAGCTTCTTTTGAGGAGCTAAATGATTTGAATATAAATAAGCAACTCTTTCCGCCTGTCAGCTACCTCAAGAATATTTAGTGCTGTCTCCTTTAATGAGTGCTCATTACAGATGAGTGCGAGTGAACGAATTTAATCAGGGTAATACGGGGTAATAATCATGTGAATTTCTCCACATYGGGTCTTGTTCCATCTGTTCCAAGCCATTTGTCCATGTAAAACTGTCAACGCTCCGAGCCACTGACTGACAGGTGAAGCCAGACGTTGGTGATTTTCATCTCAGAAGCAGCCGCTCTCGGATGAGTCCTTCTCCATAAAACAAACTGCCTGAGAGACCCCAGAGGGCTCTATCCTTGGCGTCATTTTTGCTTTGTTAGGTTTATTCTGTTGGTCATTGAGACACTGAGCTTCCTCTTGCTTAGCACAAGAGCATGGCCCGTGTCCTCGACAACTTAGATTGGTGGATGGGATCCGAAGGGGAAGGAAGAACTCGTCCTTGTAGATGCCACCCCAGGACTGAGGGCGGCTCCCGGGGGTGAACTGGACACTCACTTAGCAATCCCACAAATGTRGCACCCCGGTCCATAAACACCGTCTTAGCCAGCTTTCTGTCACTGTGACAAACAACTGTGAAAACAACTTAGAAGAGGAAGGACGGATTTTGGCTCATGGTTTAGGAGGTTTCAGTCCAGGGTCAGCCTCCTCCATGGCTCTGGGCCYGAGGCAGGGCAGACCATCAGGGTGGAAGGGAGGGTAGAGGAAAGAGGCTCAGCTCCCGGCAGCCAGATGCAGACGGCAGGGCCAGAGGATCCAAGGCAAGATAAACCCTTCCAGGGCTCGCCCCCAGGGACCCTTCCTCCTCTAGATCCCACTTCCAGCAGCCCCTCCACCTGCCCRTGGTGCATTGAGCCAGTGTGGACTGATCTTTTGATGAATTTAGTGTCTTCATGATGCAAGCATTCCACTCAAGCCCCACCTCTGTACATTGTTGCCTGGGGGACAAGCCACCAATATGGTCACTGGGGTACATTCCAGATCCAAACCAGAGCAGACACCTCTCATTCCACCAGGCTTTCCTGTAAGAAGTGCAATTTGAGGCTGGTTGGTGACACCTGTCCAGGAGTGTCATGCACTCAGCAGCCTCTCTGTGTGCCACCAGAAGTGACAGATGAAGGAAACTACTTCATGAATGAAATGTAGCTGAAGCCTCATCCGTTTTTACTTTTGGCTCCTAGGGCTCCCTGCATCAGAAGACCTATTCCACACGAAATACAGCTCCCTCTGAAGAAGTGCCTCTGCTCCCCAAGCTGGTTGTAACAAAAGGCACAATGGGCTATTTGAGAATCAAACGGCCCTCAAGACACTGGGATTCAAAAGATTCAAAAAAAGCATGTTTTAAATAGAATTGGACATAGTTGTTGCTTTAAGTCTTTGGCGAACCATGCATTATCTTCTCTTTTTCTGTCAGTGCCGGAAGACTGTATTGTTTTTTAGACTCGGGAGGGAACTTGTGCTTTTTCCTCCTTTCCCCCAGTAGTGATCCCTTCTGCAGCACTGAAGAGCTCAGACCATGCTGCAGCACCCCAGGGCCCAGGCCAGCAGTGTCTTGGCAATATTGGAGCAAACAGGGACAGACACAATGCTGGTGTCACAACCCTGGATGTCTAGGAACAGAGAGGTGGAAAACAAATGATGCCGAATTTCACCAGGCACAGAAACAGATCACCGGTTTTTGCACTTGAAGTAACAGTTGTAATGAGGGACTGATGGGAATCTGGGGAAGGACAGCTAACTGCCCTTCTGAGAGTTCTTGGCATCCTTATTTCATGGGCGGATGCCCTTACATTTTTGCTTTTCCAGTCTGCAAAATGTAACATATTTAGGAAAGAGGTTCTGATACTTCCTTCTTTCCACTGGAGAGAGAAGACAAGGCTCATCTTGTTGCCAAGCTTGAACTTGGATCTCTCTTGTCCACTGGGAGCTGCCTCCCTTAGCGCCTGCTTGATGCTCCTGTTGGCTCTCACCATCTTGCTGAAGTTGTGACAAGAATAAGTAAAGTCCTGCACATTACAGACGTTGCAAATTCAAAGAATGATAAAATTGCCCAAAGATTTACTCTTGCCCCAGAATTATTTCCATATGGCTTCCCTTCCTGTTTTCTGTGGAAATGAAGGTTCATCAAGATTTTTTTTTCTGACCCCTCCAAACAATACTTAAAACATATTCATAAGCACATGTGCCTCATCATGGGTCTGTGGGGTGTGTTTGGATCTAGCGCTAGGTTGGAAGAGCTGATTTCCCAGTGTTTATGAATTGACCCCTGCTGTGGTGGTGGATTGTCTGAAGAACCAGCTCGGTGCTATTTCCCACCCCACTGTGGTTCAAGGTACCTTGTCTCAGAATGCCTTCAAGACAGCTGCATTCCACCCACCTGGGCTGGTGCCTTGCTTCTCCACCAGGAGTGACTGTGACTCAGGATATTTGGCAGTGTCTGGAGATATTTGGCTGCCACAACTGAGGAGCAGGGTGTATCTGTGGCATTCAGTGTGGAGAGGCTGGGGAGGAGGGAGACATCCTACGTAGCACAGAGACCACCCCAACCAAGAAGCATCAGCGGGACTGAGGTGAGACATATGGTGTGGTATAAAGTGAACAGTATGCATGTTAATAAATGCTAATTTAATTTTTCCATAGTCTGCCAGGCAGTTAGAGCCACAAATTGAATCATGTGCTATTTTGTCTTTATCTCTCCTCTAGAACTATCAGCTCAAGTCATACAATTCTCATCATTTTGGAAGAATAGCAGGGACAATATTTCAACACTTGAATTATCCTACAAATGATGCTGGTATGAGAGGTGTTGAGTGAGTCCCTTTATCATACCTCACCTTCCTTTAGGTTTTTGACCCAATGTCTATGCATACATATTAGCCTAATTATCTTACTTTTGTATTTTATGACATTTTGTGACTTATCATCTGCATTTTATCATATAAAAGATTAAATTTGGGGTTGTCCTTAATTGTTCAATCTTTGAAGATTGGAGTGTTGCTACTTAGGTTAGCCGTGTTATATTGCTGGTTGTAGGACTTCATTGCCTCGATAACCTTGGGTAGAGCCACATCTGTAGCCACAATTAGTCCCTCATGATAGAATGAGGACTGAGTACCTAGGGTTGGTTTCCTAGCAGATCTAAAGGTGTCTGATTCCACTATTTGCTTGTGATGACTTTGAAAGCTAAGTAGACACAGAAAATGCAAAAGCCGTCACTAAGAAGCAAATCGTTGCCAGAGTATCTCTTTCTTATTTGACTGTCTCAGAACTAAATTGAGAAAGTGGCAATATAAACAAATGCACACCCCTTCCTACTCCATTGCCTTCCACAGGGGTCCTGATGGAGCTGAAAGAAAACTGGAAAGCGTGAATACTTGGCACCATCTGAAATCTATACATCCTTTAAAAAAATAAATAACTAATTTTTCTCTTCTTAAAATGCTAGAGGCTCACTTCATCATATTTCTTCTCTGGGCAGTGATGCAGTCCCTCACTGGGGTCTTTGCAAATGGCATCATCTTGGTGGTGAGTGGCATCGCCTTGGTGAGGCAGAGAAGACTGGCTTCCCTGGATCTGCTCCTCTCCTGCCTGGCGACGACTAGGATCTGTATGCAGGTGCTCATCTTTAGYGTCCATCTGGTTGCTCTCTCCTTGGTGAAAGAGTCTGTGTTTATTGATAATTTTCTAATTTTCATGTCTGTAAATGAACTGGGGCTTTGGTTTGCCACGTGGCTTGGCGTTTTCTACTGTGTCAAGATCGCCACCATTCCACACCCTATATTCTTCTGGCTAAAGATGAGGATATCCAAGTTGGTGCCGTGGCTGATCCTGGGGTCTCTGCTCCACTCATTGAYCAATTCTGGCCTCCAAAGCAAATATATGTGGCCATTTTACAAAGGAGTCATTGAGAACTATTTCTCCAAAAATAGGACTAAAACTGAAGACACACCTTCTGAACCATTTTATATTTTCATTGCGGGACTCTTGCCACCATTACTTATCTTCCTCGTTGCGGTTCTGCTCTTGGTTTTCTCCCTGGGAAGACACACTCAGCAGATGAGAACCATGGGCACCAGGGACCCCTGCAGGAATCCCCACGTCAACGCATTGCTCTCCATCCTGTCATTCCTAATCCTCTACTTCTCCCACTACGCAATGACTGTTTTGTTCTGTGCTCAAATTGTGCAGTTTGGAAGCTTCCTCTTTCTGCTCTGCTTAATGATTGCTGGTGCATTCCCTGCTGGACACTCTATCATCTTAATTTTAGGAAATGCTAAACTGAAACAAAATGTAAAAATGTTCCTCCTCCGTGGTAAATGCTGCCAATAAGGAAATGGGTCACTTCAAAACAGCCAGGATTCAGTGACTTATCAGCACCTGCTGTTCCTTGCCCAGCCAACAAAGCATCCTGTACATAAATATATAACATGTCATCTCAAGATTGTTCGCTTAACCTTAGGGATGTTTATAGCTTTGCTACTTTTTCACAGAGTTAAATTGATTTCAAAAGCATGAMACATGTCAAGAGATTACATCCATGTCAATATCCATCATCTTGCAAGATGTTACCATTGAGAAAACTGGGAACATAATACAGGGATCTTCCTGTAGGCTTTCTTACAAGTGCATGAAAATCTTCAATATTCTCAAAATAAAACATGTAATGAAAAAGGAAAGCACATGTTTGCATTTGTGACAGTAGAAGCCACACAGTGTCACAGGGTCCTTCTATGTCYGATGCCTAGTCTTAGGTGGTTTACCAGATGAGCTGACTGCTCATCCTCTGTCTACCCAGAGGTCATTTCTCTTCTGTTTGCTGGAGTCACAGACAATGGAGCCACTCTTCCTCCCTAGATCAGAAGGAAGCTGAGCACAGACAGATCTCAGACCTTGTGAGCAAGCTCACCTCCTCCATCCTGCGGAGATGGAGATGCTGTGATGACCTGTCCACGCAACTGATGAAAGGGAAGAAAATGGAGGGGGAAGAGGAGGAGGAAGAGGAGGAGGAGGAGGAGGAGGAGGAGGAGGAGGAGGAGGAGGAGGAGGCATCCCTTGAGGTCTGCATGTTCATTTTTCATTTGCCCTGATTGGGTATCCTGCAGCTCATAGCTTGCAAAGATGTTTCATTTTGCATTTGTGTACTGGCTTTGGGACTCCGTGGACTGCCAGTGATCACTTGGTATCCTACCCCATTGCATGTCTTCCTCGACAACAAAGCAACAGCTGTCGGTAGGTGGGGCTGAGGGTGTTTGCATCTGCTTGAAGTCATAGATGCATTTTCTGTTTGGCTAATGATTTCGGAAACAAAGATATATACGTGCATTTCTAAAACAGATTCAGAATCATTTTGCTTTCAGACAAATGAATAATATAAAAATATATCCTTAAGTTTCGTTGTAACTTGTGGTTTAGGTGTGGATTTGCCTATCATCAGTAGTAAGAATTCAAAGACTGGTTCTCTAACCCTAGACATGCAACTCACAGAGGACTTGCTTCAAAGAGCCAGAGAGATGTGTTTCTTCTTGAATGTGGGGATTAGGTACTCTGCATCTTCCCACAGGTCTTGGGCATCCCTCCTTAAGGAGCAAGGTAACTGCCTCCCTCTTCCTACTTCTTCATTTCCCCACTTCCACCAGGGCAGGAAGGTTCATAGCTAATTGTGCTCTCAGGCAGACAGCTCTGGAAAGAGCAATCATGTCCTGGAGGTAAATATTGCTCCTATGTCAGGAGGGGACAACAAAAAGCCACTTTTATTTTTCTCACATTTCAAGTTCAGCAAATAAGTAACTGCTCCTTGAATGCATGATGTCTGTACCTATGGGTGAGTGGAAGGAGGGTGGGAGCAGCCTCAAATGTTCAGGGGGAAATCCATATTAYGCAACTCTGAAGATTTTTTCCCTAGGTACCAAATCTGATTCTATTTCATGTAGCTCCTGTTTTAATAGAGGTAGTTAATGGGATGACTATTAAGGTATGACTAAGTGTGTATTATTAATATTACCAAGAGTTGTAAAAAACCTCAGTGCATAATAAAGCATCGAAAAACATTCCCAGCCTGCTTTCCTAGAAATGTACTTGTTCCTGAGATGCTGCCTCACTGTTGTGCTGCTGGGCTGGGCCTGGACACTAACTGCTCAGTTCTAGAAGCCAAGTGGTCTGGGCCTGTCTCTCTGGAGCCTACTTATCTGCACTCCCCAGCCCTGCCAATGTCTCCTCTCCAGCAGGGGGTAGACCTCTATCAYGGTACAGCCTCTTCCTTCACCCACACTGTACCTTTACAGATGGGGCTTGCTGTGGCTTGCGTGTCAATCCCCATTGTGGGAACTTCACTGGCTGTGGCGTGTACAGGTGGGACTTTGGGATTAGGGTCAGACAAGGCCATCAAAGTGGAGGCCCTGTGATTGACTCCTGGTGGCTCTATCAGAAAGAGAGAACAGAGGAGACACACACTCATGTTCCCTGTCTTTCCCCATGTGACCATCAGTGCTGCCTCTGGACTCTGCTGACCCATCACCAGAGTCAGCCCCTGACCCTGGACCAGAACCACGAGACAAAATAAACCTCTTTTCTTGGTAACCTCTCGAGTCTGTGGCATAGTGTTCATGAAAACAGACAGTGGACTAAGACCGGGCTGGACATCACGGCTCCTGGGAGGCTTGGCCTCGAGACGTCACACATGATCTGCCCTCCCCTCTGCGACCTGTGGGTCCCCAGGAAATCCAGTATCTGCAGCTCAGTCAATGGGGCTAAGGCTTCCAGGAGTCTGATCCAGAAAGCAGGGCCTTTCTGAAAAGGGACCCAGCAGGGATTGTGCATTCCACCCGAGACAGAGGCTCAATGAGCAGCCAAGAGTGGCATGCTCCTTGTTCTAACTCCCTCCTTCAGTCCCCAATCCCAGCTGTTCTCCAGTTTCCAGTGACTGAAGATGGTGACATCAGCTCAGAAGTCTAAATCTGTGTCATATAGATATACAGTGGCTTTCAAAAAATATGTGTTGTAATAATTTGAATATTAAATAAAAAAATTAGATGTCTCACAAACATAAATGCCTTTTAGATTCTCTCTCATTCAAATGTAGCAACTTCTTGAAGGGACAACAGTCTGGACTGGAAAGTGCTATGAGGACATTAGCATTTAATGATTACCCTTGGACTTCAGCTAATGACTTCTTGAGGCTAATGACCATCCGTCCTGGATACTTCAGGCAGCTCAGAGGTTGTAGCCCCTTGAACACCTAATTACAGTCAGGGTCCTCAAAAATGAGTGTTCCAATTTTAGAATTGGATAACATGATTTTTGTAATTTTCGTCCATGTGGAACTACACCTCTTTGGGTGAGAAGAGAAACAAGTAATCAGAAATATACCAGCGATAAAGATGCCAGTCTAATCATGCAAATTGACTTTGGCAATCAAGGGCATGACAGATGTTATAGACAGATGGCACACCCATGTTGGAGAAAGATCCAAATGGCCAAAGCAGGGAGATCCACATGTTTTAAAGAGGGTCTTGCTAGGGAATGAGTTTGGAGTCAATTTATGCTCCACATCAATTCAAACTTTAAATTGGTGATTTATTCCTTTTATATCATTATTCTTTGCCCCTAATGATTGACTCTCATAGGAAACTTTATGCCAAGAGAAAGGGTGTGTACTAGGAAAATCTCATTGAGCTGAACACATTCAGTTATTGGGGAGAGTCGATGTATATCCAAGATCACTCTTGAGCATTTGTTTCACTGTATTCTTTTTATACAAAACAAACATCTGTTCTCTGTCCTTGATATTTTAGACTATCTGATACATCACCTAGTATCTTTGCAAGATTGAATGTCTGCTTTTAAGATGTGATGTACACAATTGGATTCATATCTATGACATCTGGATCTACTTAATGTTTTTGGCTGGGGATCAGGAGTTGGTGATTTTATCCTATAATTTAAAACATATTCTAATCAATGAAGCAAGGGTTTCCTTTTATTTGTTTCTATTTTAAATATTTCTCTACCAGTCCATCAACAGAACATAAAAATAGAATCACCTACCTATTGAAAGCACTAAAGACATGTCTGTTTTTTAAAATGATTGAAGGTTCACTTTGTTTACACTTCAACATTCCCCAGACAAATAGATACATTGTAATTATTTGTATTTTTGATGCAATTTTGGATACATGTTTTTAAGACAGCTCTGTAGCTTCCCTCAAATTCTCTTATTCCTATAGATTTGTTAAGTTTGACAACATAAACATAAGACTCACATGGGGTAGAATTTGAATTGGGGACAGGAAGGGAAAAGTCCTGTAGCCAGATTTAACTTTTTAAAGTTTTTGATGAATGTTCCCGAATGATAAATTCCCAAATCCCTGGGGAAGCTTCAGATTCCCCAGAACTTGGGAGGTGGAAAAGGGGGTAGAAAACAAGTAAGTGGCWCGTAGTGGGCGGGGGGTTTAGGTTGCTAAATATGTGAACTGTCCTTTGGCAGAAACCCACCCATTTGGACAACAGATGCTGCGCTTGGGATTGTGAACTTTAAGTCTTGCTTCACTTGAAACTTCCCTATTGGCTTTCAGAAACATTGACCATGGCCAACATTTGATCAAAAAGCTGAGTTTTACAATACCTGCCCTGCAGGATGCTCACCCCAGCTTTTCTGCTAAGATAACAAAATTCTTGCTGTGAAGACTTGCACCTTTGATGGTGAATATGATGTTGTTAGTGGCACTGATTGATTTGGGGTCTGAAGGACAGGCTCTGCAGCATGAGAGGCGCCTTGAGCAGACCATCTTCCAGGGGGAAGCCAGGCAGACAGTGTGGTGCTGTGGTCAGGGCGGATGCCATCCACAGGCAAGGTGGACCAAGGCTCCTCAGCTCTCCTACCAGGAAGAACAGCACCTGTTTATGTTGGCCCCTTAGACAGTGGTTGTTGACCAGCAAGCACTGTCATGAGCTGAGCCTCAGTTTCTTCACCTGTGAATGGGGAAGAACGACAACATTACATGCTGAACAAAGCTTCAGAGACATAATGTGAACACAAATGAATGTCACCTCCAGCAGCAGTGTGGAAGCAGAGAAGGACATGGGAAGGGTATGTTGAATAGCGGTGCCATAATTAAGAGGCTAAAATGGACTTGATGAACCTGGACCTCACACTTCCCATCTTTGAGATGGGGAGAGGAGTCATTCCAGGCTTGACGAGGGGAGTTGATGGGCTGTGGAGCAAGTCTGGAGCACATTACCTGGCTACCACCCTTGCTGCAKTGACTTTTATTAACCCTGAGAAACCCTCAGACTGCAATGACCTTGGACCAATGACCACTTCATACACTTCA